AATTTAATAAATAAAGTAATAACTATAAGAAGCTATAAGAAGTAAGCTTCTTCTAGTTATATATATATACTATCTTAGCTAGATTAGATACTAAGGCTCTAGCTTCTATAGATCTTCTAGATTAGAGCTAATTACTTAGATTAGTTCTAATCTTTCTAATCTATCTAATCTATATTACGTAACTCTAATTATTCTTATAACTTTATACGTAACTTTTTATCTTATAACTCTTAAGCTTAGTCTACTATTTTCTCTATTCTAGCTAGTTAACTCTATTTTTAATTCTATAATTATAACACTTACCTCTTCTTCTAAAGCGTTATTCTAAAGCTCTATTCTACTCTTAGGCGTAGTATTTTATTATTTTATACTATTCTTATATAAGAGTAGTACTATCTATAGTTCTATAGTATTATATTCTCTTTTTCTCTTCTATTCTTACTATACCGCCTACGCGTACTAAGTCTTTAATAGTTTATTATTACTATTATACTAACCTTATTCTATATACTAGCGCTAATATATCTAATAACTCTTATAGCGCTTACTATTTCTATAACCTACGTTACGTTATAGAGGTATCTTCTAGTTATTACTTAGAGTATATTATAAAGAGCTAGTTCTATAATAAGATATTAGACTAGAAAGAGATAGAGAAGTTAGATTAGCTAGTAGCTAACCTGCGTTCTTAGTAGTCTAAGGCTAGTCTTAAGGTAGAGCGCCTTGCTAAGACTTAGTAGCTTAAGCTAGATTGCCTACGTGCCTAGAAGACCTGCCTAGACAAATTCTAGCGGTTTATAGATACTTGTAGCGAGCGTTTATAGAAGTAGTTAGACCTAGTATAGCGTTATTATAACGTGCTACTTTTAAAGAACCTAGCTAATATTAAGAAGTTAGAGTAGTTAGAGCGTAAGGTATAGTAGCTCTTATAGCTATAACCTTCTATTTCTCTAGTTAATTCTTTTTAGTTATTTAACTAGAGCTGTCTAGAGAATCTAGAGTTCTAGTCTTTAAGTTTTAGAGTTAGTACTACTAACAAAACTTCTTAAGTTTCTTAGAGTAATTTCTAAAGTTTTCTAGTAGTTTTTAGGTATCTTCTTCTAGTAGATATTCTTTCTATCTAATCTAGTACTTCTACTAACCTTATATACGCTTTTTATCTAGTATTCTTTTAACCTTAAAGTTCTAGTCTAGTTCTACTTTAGTTTATTTATTAAGTAGTATATTATTAGGTACTAGCTTAAGTTTAGATTTATAGAATATAGAGTATATTTATATTATTAGTAGTAGCTTTAACCTAAAGTTAATAGGTCTAAGTTATTTATTAATCTTAAATAGCCTAATTTATAAGTAGTTAAGTTTCTTACTAGGTTGTTTAGTACGTAAGTTTTTTTATAAAATAAAAACTTTATTCTTCTTCTTAAAGGTTAGTCTCTTAATTCTTTTCTTATTTACTTATTAGGTTATTCTTTCTACTATTTTTTATAGTCTATTATAGATTATTCTTATTTAGTAGTTTTTTTTTTCTACTTTTAGAGAAATTATAGCTATATATATTATAGATTTATATATTCTAGCTTTATAGCTATAGTATACTTAATAGAGAGTTATTTCTATAGTTTCTTATTTTACTATATTATATACTAGTTATACTATAAGTAGTAATTTAACCTAGTTATTCTATTCTTAGTTAATATAGTTTCTTAGGTATTCTTCTAGAGTTTAGTTTATTTACTTTATTTATCTATTAGTTTATAGGTAAAAGCTAGTTAATATTTAATTACTTATCTCTATTTAGCTAAGTAGTACGTTCTAGAACTTAGATATAAATAGCTTATTTCTATCTATAGTAACCTATTCTAGTATTCTATACTAGCTAAATAGTTATTAGCTTATCTTATAAGCTAGTTCTTTAGCTTTAAAAGTCTTACTAGTTAAGTAGAAGTATACGTATTTAATAAATTAGTCTATAATTACTAAGATAGCGTTACACTTTCTTCTTAACGTAGGTTTAACTAACCTAGATAGCTTAGTAATAAAGTCTATAGTAACGTGTTACTATAGCGCTATAGATAGTTCTAAGAGTTATAGTAATCTATATAGTTAGTACCTAACTATCTTATTTTATTAGTATTCTATATATTTCTATATTATC